AAAATGTTATAAAAGCAATGATAAAAGTGTTTAGGCTAAGTTCAAAATATTTCATGAATATAATTTAAATCAGAAAACAGTTTACACAGCAGATTTTATGTGGGAGATCGTCCCTGGATCTCTACCTGCATGGCCTTATATGGGAAGTACAGAGATGTGGCATACCATGTCCCCACCCTGACAATGATCTTAGCACACTGAGACCTCTAACTGGCCTGATGATTGGCCATACAGGGAGAGCAGTGGGCTGCACTCCACTTTCTTCTCTGTCCTTGGACGATCAGTGCTGGCACTCCCTCGATAAGCAACTCTGAGAAATCAGGTGTGGTCCACGTTACCTACCAGCCTCTGTGCTATATATTGACGTATGGCCTACCTGCCTGCGACCTGTGGCATACCTATCAGCCATGCATGTTGTACTTGACCTACTACGTGATTGGAGAGCTCAGAAAGATAGACATGCTTGTTAACCAATTACAGTGTCTGGATGGGAGGACTGTCAGGAGACACCATTCTGCCTTCCCTCTTTCTTAGCTTATGTTAGGTTATGATTGCTTTACAATATATGAACATGCTCTATCACACTGTCTCGAGTGCTTCTTTCTGTTGAGAAGCACCATTGCCTCACCCCATCAGTGGTTTTGGAGCCTGCTGGTCAGAAAATCCACAAGAACTTTAAGCACACATTTTGATGAATTTTTACAATTTCATACACTCATGTAATTAAAGATCAATCATTTTCTCACTAATCACTGTTCTTTCACATTGTTAGTTCTGTGCACTTGAAGGCTTCATAGAAATGGAATCATACCATGTATGTCCTTTTGGTTGTAGTTTATTTTGTTAAGCATTGACTTTTTAAAGATTCGTATCTGATGCTTTAATACTAGCTCAGTTTTTGTAGTGGATTAGTATTCTACTCTATATCTTTCTGACAGCCTGTTTATTCATTCACCTATCTTAGGAAAAAAAAGTTCTTTTAACACAGGTATTCTTAAAAGCGAAGCCATGAGTATTGATTTTTGATCGTATCAGTATAACTGCTGAATTTACTAGGATATATAAATAATATTAGAACACTTGATTTCTGCTACTCAGTATTAATAATGGCCTTCCTGGTCATTCTCAAATCTTTTATGAAGAGCATGCTCAACCGTGTTGTGTGTTTCATGTTGAGCACTTAATACCTTCTTTTCTGGTTGAAATACTTTAAAACTTTTTTCAAATCAATTAGCCACATTCATTATATGTGTAATTTAGGCATATCTGTTTTGAAACTTTTTGGTAAACTGTCTAGGATTTTAGAAAGATTTGAGTATGTTCCTGATCATATTGACTCTAAACAAATACAGTTTTACTTCTTTCTTCCCAAAAGTGCAATAGCCATGACAGAGAGACAGTTGTTCTGGTCTGACTCTTAGGGGAAACGTGTTGAGCTTTGTACTACTGGGTATATATCTACAGGGTCTTCTTTTCTTTAAAAAAAAAAACCTATTTATTGAAGAACAGAAAAATAGGGACAAAAACAACATACACACACACACACACACACACACACACACACACACACACAGATATTTCTTCTGTCTGCTCATTTACTTCCTAAATGGCTATAACAGCTCAGACTGAGCCAGGCGGAATCCAGGAACCAGGTACTCATCTGGATCTCCCCTGTAGGTGACAGGAACTTAAGTATTTGAGCCATCATCTGTTGCTTCCCAGATACAAGAGTGGGAAGCTTGTTGTAAGTGGAAAAGCAGGGAATTAATTCAGCACAGCAATATGGGATGTGGATCTCCCAAAATGTCCCAAACACTGGATTAATCCAGTGTACCATAGCACCAGCTCCTATTGTTCTATTTTTTTTCAATTAAATGATTAATTTACTTATTTGAAGACCAGCATCAAACACACATAAGGGAGAGAGACACACAGAAGGAGACGTCTTTTGTTTGTTGTTTCACGCAACAAATAGCCACAAGAGCCTGGGCGGGGACAAGCTGAAGTCAGAAACTCCAGCCAAGTCTCCCACAGGTGAATGTTGGCAAATGCCCTCTCTCTATATATATATTAAGAACAGATTAGTTTTCTTGATCAGTCTGATGATATAGTGAAAAAAATCACTCATCTTATGAATGTGAAAGTAATGGTGCACCCCTTGGGTAAATGCTATTTCATTATCAAATATATATTTTTATATTGTTGGGTTCCATCTCAAAATGTTTGGTAGTTTTTTTTGTTTTGTTTTAGTTTACCTGGTTTAATACTTACCTGGTGTAATACTGGTATCATAAAATAAGTGAGACAATATTCTTTACTTCTACACGTCTATGTTTTCTAGATACTTTGAATGAGAGTGTTATTTCTGATTTAAATGTATCAGCTAATGCATTTGGGCTTGGAATTTTCTTTATGCAATGGTTGTAATGGTAAATATAATTTACTTAACTATCACAGGGCAATTTAGATCTTGTATTACTTTGTCACTTTTGATTACTGACTTTTTTCTTTAAGGACTGCATGTTTTATCTAAATTACAGGGTTTGTTTGCCAAGATTTATACCTACAAAAGGCTTTAAGCTTGATCGCTATATATTACTTCTCCTTAATGATATACATTCCTTTCATTTCAATGTTGATATCTCAAATATTCACCTACTATTCTTGTTTTCTTTAAAATTTTAACATATTTGTAAGAGCTGCCTTGATGCATGCCTGTTAATTTCATTATTCTGTCATTTCTGATTCTATATTTTCTCAAGGTTATATTTTATATAATCTTGCTTTTCCTCCAAGTTAGTAATTTCTAAATGAACACCAGACATTAACAATATAATATTTTTGTTTTTCTGCATTATTCCTTCCAGCAAGCAGTTCATACAGTTGTGTATAAGCAAGATTCTTTCAAGATTGTTTATAATTATATCTGTCTACAGAGTACTGCAATAGTTTCCCCCCATTTCAATATATCAGCAGACAAATTATTTCTGTGAAAAACAAGCATTCTTTTACTTAACTGACTGTTTTCAGCAATCCAGTTGATCATGGCTTAAATGTGTTCCCCAAAGCTCAAGCGTCAGAAAGCAGGAAGGCTATCACCAGATGTGGCTCTTCAGTCTTAGATTTTCTGTTTCCAGAAGTGTGACCCAAGTACTCAGTTATAGATAGTTGCTCAAGCTGCCTATTTAGGCTGCGCAATTCTGAGTGTCACTCATGAGAGTACAGCCTGCAGTCTCTTTCTTCAACCCTCCCAATGACCCTGTGGCTATTTGTGCTTTTTCTGCTTCAGTCGGCTAAGTGCATTCTGTTATCTACTGCTATGAATGAGAATTGTTTCTTGTCTTTAAACAATATTAAATCTTAAAGATATTAAAAGAGCTGATTTGAATAATTAAAACACTTAACATATATGGATGTGAAAAACTACTGACATTACCATTATTCTTATTTTTCTTATGGTAAAGCAATGGCGTAACACTTAGGTTTGGACTATGTGGTGAATATATGCTCTTTCTGCAATATTATTCCTGCTGAACAATCACTCAAAGATCCAGTTTCTTCATTTATAAGCTGGGTAAAGAATTATAGCTATATCACAGAACTATTATAAAAAAATGAAAAATATAAACAGATGCTTTCCTGTGTTTATTCTCCAAAAAATATATAATTTAGCCAAATTCACTTCCTAACTCACTTTCTGTTGTTAAAAGTCAAGACTTTACCTTGTTCCATCAAAATACTTGGGACAACTCTTGTTAAATAGCACCCTAAAAACCTGACATTATATTATCACTCGCCGACTTAATTCAAATCAGTTCTTTTAAGATACTCTTTTTCCCATGAAGTCTTTTCTTTGATGTACAACCTACCAGAATTACTTCCTTATCTGGGTTCTCCCCCATGCAGCATCATAAATTTTCACTCTTTATTACTTCTTGTAGTGTGGTAATTTATATCTCCTATCATCAGTTGCATGAGGTCATTCCAAGGTATATCTATCAAAGCTCTAACAGGAATATAGCACTTAGTAAACACTTCAATACCAGATGAGAGATGATAAATGAGGAGCCTAGACGTTCATACAAAACAAATATTAACAAGAAAACTGTGCAAGGGTTCCATTTTTTTGCACCAAAATAAATATATCTTTTAATTCCATTTCCTAAAGAACTATGTGAAGGAAACTAGTGAGTTCAATTAGATCACAGCGATTCTAGAATAGATCATTAAATGTACAGAATTTAAATTTAATTACTCAAGTAAAAGATTTGCAAAATCACAAACACTGTTTTTTTTTTTTCCTATTAAACCTCTTTCTGTTTACTAAGACATTTCTAACTATCTCTGATTCCCTTTAAGGGTGTTTTCATCTATACATAGCAGTGATATGAATATCAAATGTAAACCAATTGAATCTATTTAACAAAACAATGTTTGTTTGGAAGAGTCTCAGGATACTTTCGTACAGGTTTCAGCAAAGCTGCACTCATAATATTTGTACAAATGAAAGGGCTGAAAAAAAGTTGGTTTTCACCCTTGGCTGCATACTGGAATCCCATGGATAATTTAGTAACATCAGTATCTTAATTATAAACCCAGAGATCTCACATTTGTGGACTGGAACATGGCATGACCACAGGATATTTGAGATAGTCAAATAAAGCTCATGAGTAATTTTACAGCCTATTCTCCATTGAGTATCTTCTCTTGTTCATTTTTACATACTTCTCTACTTTGGACACTTACTGCCTTCCTAACAGATTTAAGATCATTTATCTAAACACTCCTTTGCTGTTATCAATGACAATGTTTTTTTTTTTTTTTTTTTTTGGAAAACTCTTTCCTGAAAGTAACTTCAGAATTTTCAGCAGTAGGCAATAATAATCATCATTTTCATTAGAAATAAAATAATAACTAAAATAGCACTCTGGTACGAAGAAAGACAGGTAAAAGAATTATCCATAAATTATCCATAAATGACATTGTCAACTTCTAGATACCTGATTGATGGCTACAAGGTCATCAGCAAAGTGGTTCACTTCTGATAGAAGCAGAGAAATAATAGATTTTCTCAAAATGCTGCATCTTCCTAGAGTTACCAAATTCTGAGAGATACAATGTTGCATCTGAAACTAAAGATAAAAATGAGTAAGGATCAAGCCAAAATATATTTGATGGAACTGGTCTAAGACTTTACTACTGAACTAAATGCCGCAAGGAATACAAAAAATATCAACATTATTCTGGGTGAATCTGAAGCAAAATTGTGGAATAGACAAATTGTAATATTGGCATTATGATTTTGTGTAGCATTTGAACTTCAAAATTTTAAAGAGAAATACGAAGACGAATTTGAGGACATCTGTTAGTACTCTCTAAATAAAACCACCACTGTGGAGATACAGTTGAGAAGGGCACTCATGTTTGATACAAGTTAATGGAGAGGAGCTTTAGATTAATGAGAAAAATAAAATCTGACCCTGGGAATTTTCATGTAGAAGTAACAGTAGTACTTATTATTAAGTAAATTTAATGTGAGCAAGCAATAGCAAACTACATTCAGCAGATATTAGGAGAGAAACCATTTGATTATTGCTCATATTAGCGAGTTTATAACTGAGCTGGCATTTTCTAATCATACCCGCTAAGATAACTTGGTGAAAGGGAGGTTCAAGAAAGGTCTGAAAATACAGAAATTAACATGTACTTGGTTATTGCTCTGTATATGTTAAGTATCATAATAGGGGAACGTTGCTTCTGGGAATAAATTAATAATGCCAAGCGAAACTAACATAGGTCACATCTTTCCCTTAGGAAAAACACTTCTGGATAGATTATTCTTAAAAGCGTATTTCAATGATAAGCAACTATTTTAAAATTTAATGACACCAGCAGTGCTAAGAGAAGTGGTTCTTACACATTTTAACATATACAACTAGTTGTAATAACATCTTAAGTAAATTTATTAACATGATAAAAATACATAAAATATCCCAGATGTGTATTTAGCATCTGAGCATATGACTGCCTGAAATGCATATCTTTCATAACTCTCCTAAACCACTTCCTTGATATCAAATTTTTACAATATTTTTATGGTTGTATCTAAGAGAAACACTTTTCTTACCAGGCTAAAGTTTCAGTGTCTTATTGTTGCTTTAATTATGTGCTTATTTAATTTTTTAACATTTAATTCCTAGGCTATCACTTGAAATAAAGTGAAAAGTGAGAGTAAGATAAAAAAATTTAAGTGGGAGGGCCCGGCGCTTTGGCGCAGTGGTTAAGGTCCTCGCCTTGCACACCCGGGATCCCATATGGGTGCTGGTTCTATCCCAGCAGCCCCGCTTCCCTTCCAGCTCCCTGCCTGTGGCCCGGGAGAGCAGTGGAGGACGGCCCAAAGCTTTGGGACCCTGCACCTGCATGGGAGACCCGGAGGAGTCTCCTGGCTTTGGATAGGCATAGCATCGGCCGTTGCGCTCACTTGGGGAGTGAATCATTGGACGGAAGATCTTTCTCTCTGTCTCTCCTCTCTGTATATCCACCTTTCCAATAAAAAAAAAATAAATAAAAATAAATCTTTAAAAAATTTAAGTGGGAATAAAATGATGATGGTAACAATGGAGTTGGATTTGCAGAGTCTAACACTCCATGAGTGAATTCTCAACTCCAATAATTATTTGCTTAAGAAGCGACTTAACCTTCTAAATCTGTTTCCATAATTATAAAATAGTCATTTTTGACAGTCTTCATAGAATTGTTGTGTGTCTTAAGTTAAACAGTTAAAAATGTTTAACATCACCCAAGTAAATGCCCAATAATTTACTATAACATAATTTAGGATTCCAACATAAAATCATTGAAGGTTATATGATATAAATCTAATATTTTAATGCTGGAAAAATGAAATAAATGCATAAAATCTATTTTTCTTAAGTCAATACAGTCCTTTTAGTACAATGCTATTGCAGAACACTGCTAGAAAGAGGAAAATTTTTCCACAGAGATCTTTTCTAAAGTGTAGAATATTTGAGAGACTAGAGAATTAGATATAACCTTTCCTGGATTCCTCTGCAGTTAAGACCTTAAATATGAGTGGAGCTTTTTTCCAATATTACATGAGCGCTTGATTTCTATTTGCTTATCCATCAATTCATTTGCAAGGCAGAGTGACAAAGACAACAGGCAAGGGAGGGAGGGAGAGAGAGAGAGAGGGAGAAAGAGAGAGAGAAAGAGGTAAGGTGGGAAGGAAATGGAATGAGGGAGGCAGGGAGGGAAGGAGAAAGATATTCCAATGCCTCCTTCATTTATCTAAATGACTCTAGTAAAAGTGGAACTCTATTCCTCTACTCAGTTTCCTCATATGGGTGGCAGGAAGGCAACTGCTTGAGGCATTATCACCTGCTACAAGGTAGGCTGGCAGGAAGCTGAATAGAAGCTCAGGCAAGTACAATGATGCCAAACACTCAGATATGGAATGGAGGAGTTCAGATATGGAATGGAGGAGCCATCAGATTTCTCCTTGAATTTACACATGAATTAGAAAAAGAAGGAGGCACAAGGTGTCCATTTGATTGGTATAGCCTGGTGCGGCATGATTCTGGATTACCGTGAAGTTGGTTCAAAGTGTACCTTATGCACTTTCTTAATCATGGCAGAAGTGGCTTCTACTTTGGTAGAGCTATTGTTTAATGAGTATTAGAAATACTGTGAATTAAGTCTTCTTAAGGTGCTTTAATAAACATCAACTGCAGGACTCATAAAGTACAGTGCTACATTAAAATCTTGAAACATGCAAGAGTCTCCAATTAATTGACTGTATGAACAACACGGAGAATAGAAGAACCATGGGGAATGGTACTGAATTATCATAAATTTAGCCAGGTGGTATTTCCAATTACACAGTGCTGTTGTTCCAGATGTAACTCCTTTTCTGAAAGGATCAACACTGTCCTGATACTTGTTAAGCTGTTTTGATCTGGAGATTTTTTTTTCACTATTTCAAAGTGTGCATAAAAATGAAGCAGCTTCCATTTACTTCATAGAAAACAGTGTACTTATTCTATCCTGATTGACCTGATGACCCTGTGCTATTATTCAGTTTGCCAGGATCCTCATCATTGAAGTAGTGCAAAAGACATTGGGCTCCTGTGCTGTGCTGATACTCTCATAATGTTATAGTAGATATTTGAAAACCATAATAACACACATGGACAACAAAGAGTAGAAGATAAATCACAGAATTTAGTAGCATGAAGTACTTGGAAATTTCCTGATAGTGGTAACATGCTTGATTATTCATCCCAATAGGAAAAAAATGCATTGGTCGGCATTTCCTATCAATGAAGAAAGAGACAGGATCTGTATAGGTTGCCTGCTAGTTGAGGCAACTTATTCTATTTGTTTTAATATTTGTATGCATATCTCCAGTAAAGTACAAGGATCCAGAGCATTACATAAAGATCTGCTCTTGGTTTAAATAGGGGAATAAGAAGTCCCGCCACTGAGACCACGTAAGCAGTGAAAGCCAATGTCCTTGAAGCTAATCAGCACGCTACTCAAATTTGTAGCTGGTGTTAATAACAAAATCTCAAAGAAAGAGTTCTGGGTCTGAAATAAAATCATTTCCCTCTTAAAAAGAAAACAGTATTCCTTATGGAACACAGCACAAGTTTTTACAGTACTATTTGTCCCCATGAATGCCCCATGAATGCCAACCTGGATATAGCAGACAAAATACACGTAAAACTACTCACTTGAACTGGGTTTAAACAACAGTCAGACATTTTCCTATCCCTTTTCCTACCAAAGCACCAGACTGACCTGCTGAAGTAGATCACTAACCAAACTGTGTCCTGATTCTAAAAATGGTGGGTGACTCTCACAAAGGATGGGGAGGCTAGCAGGGTAGACAGCAGATCCCCTGTAGCTTGTAACTGTGGGAATCCTAACCCTTGTGAAAGTTCTGAACCAAGATTTTAGAACTAAGAATGATATGCAGTCGGACTGTAGGTGCCAGCCTGTCTTGAACCCAGACATTCAGATGTCGCTGATTATTGGAGACGCATGGAGGGCTGGAGATTACTCTACAGAGTGATAGTTAATCTTTTCTTCCTGTGCCTTGTTTTATGCAGTGACCAAATACTGTGAGCTCACTCTAGACAACAAATCAATTGGCTTACATTGGCATAACTGTGATGACATCCACCACTATCAATATCCCCTAATCATACTGACTATTATCAGAGAGGATTCAGTATGCCCATGTTATGAGGCTTTGGGCTCTCAAATCAAGCCAGAACTCTCTGGTCCCACTGAGCACAAACCTCTCAATCTCAGGGATTTTAGTAAATAACAGTGGCACATTTCTGAGAGCAAAATCTTCAAAGGAGCCAGGGGTCAGGGATTCCCCAGATGTATAATAGTCAACACAGAAAAAAATTTAAAAAATGAGAGAGAGTTATATGAAATCAAAAATTCTTTGCATGACAGGGAAAAGAATTTCTAAAGGAGAGAGATATATAAAGAACAATCAGGGCCCTATGTGATAGCTTAGTGGATAAATCCTGGACTAGCATGCATGAGGATGCCACATAGACACTGGTTCATATCCTGGCTACACCATTTCCCACCCAGCTCCCTGCTTGTGATCTAGGAAAGTGGCAGAGAATGGCCCAAAGCCTTGGAACCCTGCACCCACATGGGAAATGTAGAAGAAGCTCCTGGCTCTTGGCTTCAGCTCAGCTGCTGCAGGCATATGGAGAGTGAACCAGTGGACAAAAAGATCTTGTTCCTCATATCTCCTTCTTTCTGTATATTTGCTTTTCTAATACAAACAAACAAGTAAATAAATAAACCTTTAAAAATAAAGTTGGCAGCATTACAATACCATATTTCACAACAAGGCTACTATGTCAAAACAGACTAGCAGGGCCCGGAGAGATATCCTAATGGTTAAAGTTCTCGCCTCGCACACACCAGGATCACATATGGGCGCCGGTTCTAATCCCGAAGGCCCCACTTCTCATCCAGCTCCCCACTTGTGGCCTGGGAAAGCAGTCGAGCATGGCCCAAATCTTGAAGACCCTGCACATGAGTGGGAGACCCGGAAGAGCTCTTGGCTTCTGGTTTCGGA